TGAAAGACAGCCACATAAATTCCAGGAATCTCTTGAGACTCAGTATCCCCTCAGCATCAGCTGCAGGCAAAAGAAAAAGGCTGGCTAATTTGAAATCAATCATTAATATTCATTTTTTATCATGCTACAGCTGGAGCGACTGTTGTCTGTCATCTTTACTTTCCACATGGCAAGCATTTCCTTTGAAGAAAGCAGGATTGGCAAGCTTCCCTCACTCACTTCCTCATTCATTCATTCATTCATTTTCCTCTTAAAAGAGAGAAAAAAAAATCCCTAGAGTTCTCTTCAAGGGACTTTTGAGTAACCTAAGCTGAAACAATTGAAATCCATTTGTTGTTACTGTACAATATTTTTTTCTTTTTTCAGCCATGTGGGTATTCTCAGCAAAGGAGCCCTTTTTATTGATTATACTGCGAGTAATGGAGTTTTTAAAAAGTAAAACCATAGAATAATTTTTGCCATCAAGTTCAATGAAAAAGATATCTAGAATTAATACAGACAGGAAAAAAATTGAGCAAAATGTAGTCGCTTTCTTTTAAGATGCGGTAGTCGATGGAAAGTCAATTTCCATGTTGTTCCCTTTGTTTATCACAACAAGATGTGGAAACCTACCCAGCCATCCACGTTCCTGCTCTAAGAATGCAGAGACAAGGTGACAGCATGTAAAAGTAAAGTACTAAGAGCATTTTAAAGCTGAGGGCAAACCACATTTACTAACTCTAGGTGTTTTTCTCCTTATAGCTACCAACTTCCACTTATAATAGATGAACATTTTTCTTTCATTTTTCTAACCAAATCATATTTTTTATTATCAAGTTCACCTTTAATATACATTTTCTATTTGAAAATGGAAAAAATATCCATTATCCTGCCACATTTACATAAGCATATTAAGCATTTGGATTTTTTCACATTAATTTTTGAAATTAATTTTCATTAACCCTGTATTTCCCCAGGAGGAATGGGTCAGTCTTCACTAATTCAGTGTTACCACAATTTTATAAAACATAACTACTGAAAATAGTAAGAATTGACTGAATTTGTATACTTTGCTTAAAAACTTTTTAAAGCTCTTCATTATTACAAAGTTTATATTCCTAAACTTGCCATTCAAGGCACAAACCTTTATGCCCTAAGTGAATTCTTTAGCCTTATCTTTGACTAATCTCCAGTGTGAACTTTTGTTGCCGAGAAAGATTCACTGTGATTGTAAGAGACAGCTGGTTGAAATAAACACCTTTACCTCTGCCAGCAGAAGGCTATCTGGTGGGGAAAACAAATTTTGCTTTAAGTTAAAACACTGCAGCAAAAAGGCCCTTAACCCGCAGGCACCTACAGAAAGGCTCTTTCTCTTTTACTTCTCTTGGCAGCATGTTATCAGGGTCATTGTTTCTAGAAAACTATTTTGTTGTTACCATGTTACTGCTTCATTCACAGGTGTATAGCCAAGTTGGGCTATAGTCATTCTATATGACTATATAGAGTCATATAGGAGCTCTATGTGAGCTCCTAGCACTAATGTTAACTCTGACACTCTCTGACAGCATGCTCTTTCTTGAAGCCAGAAACAGTTCCAGCAAACATAACCAAAGAGTGATGTCATAGAGCAGAGCCTTCATGGGTGAATACAAATATTTTAAATCAGTTTTCAGAGATTTCCGGCACTAAGAATTACAGATCATGGGACTTGGACCCCGTGTTCAGCTCCAAGTAGATTTCTTGCTGTAATGTCAACCTTCTCCATTTCCCCAACCCATCCAGAGTTTGAGGTGTCTTTACAGTCTGTGTGACAGTGTTGGGGGAAATACAAAGGGCATGGTCCCACATTCACCTCTCCGCTGACAACAGTGCAGGGGCAGCATCCGTGTGCCAAGTAGCACAGCCATCCAGGGGCTCCAGGCAGTGACCAGCACCAAGGTCGCCAGCAGCCCCAGTAAGAACGAGAGAAGCAACTGCAGTGCGGAACAGGCTCAGAGCAGATGCGAGGTGATGTCCCTTCTCCCAAATACTTTCAAGGGAGGCGAAGAGGAGGATTTGCCCAGCTAAACAGAGAACTCTGTTTTGGGGGTTGTATGGACTGTTGCATGTGAATTTTTCAACCTTTCTGTAAATGAAAGAAAGACAGACAAAGGAGAAGGGTGAATATATCTAATGAAAAAAAGCACCCAGGAGTGAAAGAGTGATGGTGTCCTAGGGACTTCTGTCACTCGCTCAGTAAGAGGCCTCCTGTTTATATTTTCATGCCTTCCTCTTCTGTGAGTGATCTGTGCTTCCCCAAAACCCTATGAAGAGAAGAAATGGAGCAACGGGAGCCCTGACTCTGGGCTTCAAAAGTCAGCTGCTGCCGCCACCACCGCTCCTATCAGGTGTAATTTGCCTCTTGGCTGGCCCTCACTGGCACTTTCAGAAGCACTGTGGGAGTGTGTGTGAGTGTGTGTGTGTGTGTGTGTGTGCACATTTATGCATGCGTGGGGTGCATGCCACTTTTACTCATCTTTGGGCTGGGGAGCCTTAGGGAATCAGAGTTCAACACTCACAGTTTACAATGAAAGGATAAGGACTTTGCCACTCACCTGTGGCTGGAGGACAGGGATTGGACCAGCTCCCTAATTCTGACACCATGAACTCTTAGGTCTAGCCTTCGGGCTCTGCTTCTGGTTCCTACCTTTGCCTCTCCTGGTCTCCTGGCAAGAACTCTGGTTTGACACAAAACCCAAGCATGGAACTCTTTCAGTTTCCTGCTCTGTGTGGCTTTTCTGACTGCATTCAGAGTCTGGCTTTATAGACCTTGCAATCTGTGTTAGAAGCTCCAGTACTGGCCTCTCTAGAGGAAGGAAGAACACTGGCTACTTCATCTTCCTCCAGAGCCTCCCAACTGCTCACCTCGTAATTGGTGACTTCCTTCTATCCAGCCCACCGCCTCTCACCCCACCAGCACACAGCTCCCCTGCATCTCCTTGGCCATGACTGGCCCTGACCGGCCCAGCCCAGGAAGAGCCTTCCCACATGTTACTCTCAACCACTTTTATTCTTGCAACATTCTGACCATTCACATGGTAATAGATTTCGTTATAGCTAGTTACCACATATTCGTGTGTGAGGGCACAACGAAAGGTGTAAGGTGCACCAATGAATCCTTCAAGAACCCTAAGATACTGCTGATTTACAAATAGGAAAACTGCTGTGTGGAAGGGTTAAGAGTTTTGCCCAAAGCCATAAAGCTAGTAAATTGTAGGATCCGAACTTGGACTTATCTCTGCTTGATTCCCAGGCCTACATGCTTAACTCCACATCAGGCCACCTTCCCGTGAGGAGTCTCACAGTCTTCACCCTAAAGATGTTCCTCTGGTTCTGAACTTACTTCCCAACAATTTGCAGACAAACCCCTACACTTTGAAGCTTGATCTCACAATTCATGCTAATGCACAACTTGGTTTTTTTCCCTTACCTATATGTCGTTGTCAAAGGGCAATTTTTTAAAGGGTAAAATCATGACTCTTATGTTATTATAAAATGAATACAAGTAAAAGATTTTATTTGACTAATTAACCAAAGATGGAATCAGTAAGATACTACAACTAGTTCAAAGGAGAATTCAAAGTACCATACATATATAGGCAATCTGAAATGCTGAAATGAATTTAACATGCCTGCAAAACTGGTCAAGATCCACCAGGTGATAATGAATTACATCTGACACCGTTCATTTGCATTTCTGTGGACACCAGTCATTTCCACTATTATCATTTTCTACAACCTAGAATACAAAATACCTCAAAGACCATGAAAGGTGGAGATAAGCTGGAAGAGCAGGCTACACGAGACACTCAGAGGTCATTTTTACCCATTTCAAGGTCTTCTGCATTTTTCCTGGAATCCTGAACTAATATTTTATTATATATTTATTATATGACTGTATTATAATGTAACCACTCTCTATACACGTGTGCACGCGCATGCACGCGCGCACACACACACACACACAAATGGGTCTAGATTCAAGTTGTGGAGACAAGTTTTCTCTTCAGAATAAATATAATAGAATCACCTGGTTCTCCGGCCCTCTTTCAGTAGTGTCTATTAGATAAGCATTCCACAACCAACCATGTATTATTCCCAAAGAATTCCCCAATATCATAGGATAGTAGCTTTTTCCCCCAAAACAGTGTCATGAACAGATGGTACTAGACAGTCACCTCTTATCTTTAATGCTGTCATGCTCATATGGCAGTAAGTCATAGGATATTCGCAAAGACAGGGCATTGTGAAGCCCTAATTAAATATTTTGACTAGGAACCTGCCTTTGCTTTGATAGAACATCCCAGCATGAAACAAATAGCTACCAAAAATACTTCCTAAAGGAGGATATGGTTCTATCTCTAAGAAACCACCAACTTCTTCCTTCCCCAGACACCTGTTTCCTGCCTTGAGAATTTAGGCCCTTCTGGTCACTAGTAAAGGACACCTGCCACATAGGGATCTGCCTGAAAAAAGGAAAAAGCGAAAACCAAGACACCACCACAGCTTTTCAGGAGTGAGTTGGCAACTGGTGCTCAAGACCTGAGTTGCTTCAGGGTCTAAATCATCTTCTTGCCTCCTAAGGGAAGTAAGTCTTAGACAAGAATTAAAGCGCAACTCCCTTATTTGGGAAGTGCAGGAAATACTCGTGGGGCGAGTAAGGAAGAGAATAGAGTAGCAGGCAGGCAATAAAGGATGTGTCATTAAGCACTATCACGGTGGGTGACTAAAGCTTTACGCAAGCCAAGAGGTGATTGAGCTGCGGTAGTACTTATAGAGCAACTCCGGTGAGCCACTGATTGAGGACTGGTCCTAAGAGGTGCTAATTCACTCATACTTCTAGCCTGCTACAGGTTCTGGAAATAAGATCTTTAGACTGGGAGACAAGGACACTGGCGGCTGGCGTCAGTCAGAGCTGCTGAAGGGCTGGCAGGGAGACAGGGGAGGGGAGGAGTGGGCAGATACTGCCGATACCTACTCACCGCAGCTGAGGAAGGATGGTCTCTCCAGTGGTCAGCGTTAACGTGCTTCAGCCTCTCTCTCGGTCTCTGCTTTCTTGCTTTTCCTCCTGCTACCATATTTCCTAGTAGCAGAAAGAGAGAGCATGCACCTTGCTGGCGCAGAGCTTATCGCCTTGAGTTGGCTCACAGGCCACTGGTCAGCCTCTGGATTGGTTGTCCTAGGATCAGGTACATACTCCTGGCTCCTGTTTCTGAGTGCAACAGAGTCAAGTGACATACAGCAGGACCACTTGCGCTACCGACTAGCCTAGGCGCTGGGAGCAGGACAGCTTCCCGCCGCAAGCAGACGTCACGCACATTCTGCTCTGACACAGGTGATGGCAGTTATGCCTCTGATGGTTGTGCACGCTTACATCCACCTCACCTGGGGAACCCGCAAGGCTTTAGTCATTAAAATCCCTAACCTGAAGCTGTGGTTTTTCGTATATGTCTCCCCTTAGAATTTAGTGTGTTCCTTTGCTCATCTTAATTTAACATTTACACTATACTTTACCTCTCACCATTTCTGTCTTCTCATTTGACTGTTTCCATGAACAAAAGCCTGACGCGTGTGCAGCAGGATTTCACTGTGCCAAGGACTGCTGTCGTTCTTGGTTTCGAGGCACACGCTGCCTTTGAATCTGGGAACCCTGTGCTCCAACTGAACTCCTGACTCCCATCCTCATGTTCTCTGAGAGCCCCCCTCTCCCACTGACACCTTCTCCTTGCCATAGTTGCTTTATAGCATTCAGCAGTCTCTGCAATTTAATTTATTTTTTAACCATTAATCTCCTGACTTCCCACATAAGCTTCATGAGGGCAGATGCCAGGATGAGGTGATCCAATTAATAGCTGTTGAATGAATTTATTACTAAAGCGAGGACCTTAAGGTTTTTTCCTAGGAAAGGGCACGGGGGATCGGTTTGGACTGATCCAGTGGCATCTGTGGCTTGGTCCCTATTGTGACTAAGACAAATTCTGGGGTGGTGGCTGGCCAGAGGCAGCATGGAATCATCAGGCAGAACTGAAGCTGTGGCCTGGGTCTCATCAGCGTGGCTCAGATCAGCAGAGTCCCTACTTGGAGAAGGAAAACTTATCGGGAAGCAATAGGCAGGACTAGCAGGGTAGGGACATGTGAGACGGACAGTGAGCCACAGGGCAACATCTGGCAACCATCAGGGAGAAGGGCACAGGATAGCGCATTAGAGGGCAAGACCTTCATCCTGGATGCACTGAGGGGGCCTTGCCGTGGGCCAGCCCTGGATGATGAAAATTCCAAGTTAGGGAAGGAATTCACAGCAGCCACATTGCTGACGGCGGCCACCCCACCGCAGCCCACACTCGGCATGCCACAGCTCTCGCAAGGCCAAAATAAACAGCTGCAGAAAATGATTCTCCAGGAGATCTTGACTATAATGTCCTTCGGGAGATGCTTATAGAGGTCTGTACTCATTGTCAGTGCCAAGAACCAGCACTTACACTTATCGTCTGTATTCCGGTCTTCCTTTCATTTCTGATTTTGGAAATTTACATTGGGCATGAATTGTTTTTTTTAAATTTTAAGTAGAAAAACGTAAGTATAACATCAATATTTCCCATCCTGGCCACCCTGTACCTAAACAGCAAATCCAACAACGTGTCAGAGGAGAATATTAAATGGCACTCAACCTTTATGTCATTCATGGAAGATATCCCTTGAAAAAACTGGATAAATGAGAACAACTTGCTGTAGAAAATGTGCCTATAAAGACTTGAGACTGCTGTTAATAGGCTAAGTACCTTTCAAATTGAAGGCAGTGTAGGCAGAGGCTGATTATATCCAAGTGTGAGAACAGTACACCACTTTCAGAAAGGCAGGACGGTTAACTAATGATTAGTCTTCAAGCTCATAAAAACGACACACTCACTGACATGGTCCTATGTCAGTGAATGTATGGAGAAGAAATAGATTTCTGTGGTATATTAAGAAAAAAGTTTTATTTGAAGCTTCAATGTAAACGGAATTTCTAAATTGTAAGAGGGCATACATTTGCAAGAGGAGAAAAATCCAGATGTTCAAGGCCCTGGATCAGGATGTGAAGAATGTGTCACACTGACACATTCACTGAATAAAAGAAAGTCTCTAGGGCAGATTATTTAAAGAAGAGTGACAGCAAAGAATTCCTAAAACTATCAAGAATTCTGTCTCTCTCTTTTTAATGAGTGCACACCTATAAATTCCTTTGTTAGTTTTCAATGCACATTATTCTTTTTATTCAAACCCATAATAATAACAGTCTGAAATAATGCTCTTTAAGTTAAGTATAGAGCTTCAAAACAAGGGGCTGCTATTCAACCTCATAAAGCCCTCTGACCACAGCTCCCGGCCTGAACATTCTCCTAGTCAATCAATATTAGCATATCTGCACTATATCACCCTCATTAGGAAATTCGTTCATTCATTTAACGAGGTATTGACAGCCTACTCTGTGCTAGGCATCTTTCTTACAGGACGTCAAGAACACAACTGACAAAAGTCCCTGGGGGCTTGGTGGGGAGGAGGCAGATAATACACAATACTTGGGGATAAGTAACGTGCTATGCAAGGCGGTGATACGTGCTCTGGAAAATCAGCTTCCAGGAGCTGATTGTGGCATCTCTTCTCCAGCTCCATGTTCATCAGCAGCAATTCAGTGACATCACGTTGGTAACCTGAAACAGCAAAGTATTTGCACCATGGAAATGTGCAGATCTTACAAAGTGCAGCTTGTTTTTCTCAGAGAGGCAGCTGATAAACGTTTACCAGCATACCACTGGTGTGATTTTAGATCAAACATTGACATTTGAGCAAAGACATGAATGTGGTGAGGGAGTCAGCCTTCAGCCATATGTCATCTAGGAGAAGAGCATTTGAGGCCATGGAAGAGCCACTGCAAAGGCCCGAAGTAAGGAGCAGGCTGGGGGTGTCCTAGGAAGAGCAAGGAGTCCAGTGGACAGAGCAGCGAAAGTGAGAGACAAGGAGAGTGGTAAAGACGCGCCGGGCCAGGTAATTTTAGAGCAGATTGTGGAGGATGCTGTAGGCCACTGGGGGGACTCTGGCTTTTACTCTGAGTGTGATGGAAAGCTATTAGAGGTTTTAGAAGAGAGGAATGTGGGATCTAATGTGCCTTTTTTTTTCCATTTATTTTATTTATTTAGTTTTGGCTGCATTGGGTCTTCGTTGCAGCGTGCGGGCTTAGTTGCTCCGCAGCACGTGGGATCTTCTTGGACCAGGGCTCGAACCCGTGTCCCCTGCATTGGCAGGTGGATTCTCAACCACTGCGCCACCAGGGAAGTCCCTAATGTACTTTTAAATGGACCACTTTGGTATGTTGAGAATAGATTAAGTTGTGGGGAGTTGATGGGAAGTGAAAAGGTACAAGCAAGGCAAAACTATTCTAGATATTGTAGTCTATTTACCTAGGTGAAATGTGATGGCTCAGAGTAACAGTAACAGATGTAGTGAGAAATGGCTGGATTCTAGATATATCTTGAAAGCACCTACAGGAGGTGCCAATTGATTGAACATGCAGTGTCAGAGAAAGGAGTAAAGGCTGACACTAAGACTTTTGGTTTGAACAAATGGAAGGATGGATTTGACATCACTTGAGAAGTAGAAGACTCTGGGTGGAGCAGATGCAGGGGAAGGGAAGGGCGGGACAGTCAGAAGGTCAGTTCTGGACAAACTGAACTTCAGGTATCCATTATGTCGAGTAGGAGATGGATGTATGAGTCTGAATTTTAGGAGCCTGTTCTGGCCTGGAGATATAGATTTGGAAGGCATAGATGGCATTTAAAGGCTTAGAACAAGATAGTAATGCCAAGGAGTGAGTATAGACGGTGAAGAGACAAAGAACAAGGATTCAGCGTTAAGATACTCCAGGGTTGAAAGGTCAGGGGAAAGAGGAGGACCAACAGAAAAGAGTTAGGAATGAGCAGCCAGAGACAAAGGAGAAAAGCCAAGGGTGTGGCGCCCTAGAAGCCAAGTGAAGAAATTGTTTTAGGCAGCAGGAAGTGATCAGCTGTGTCTAATGCTGCTGATAGCGCTGGTAAAATGAGAACTGAGAATTGATCACTCTATTTAGCGAAATGGAGGTCACTGGTGACCTTGACCAGCGTGGGTTCAGTGGAGGTCCGTGAAGCGAAGCCTCGTTGGAGTGGGTTTAGGAGAGAACTGGAGGAGGGAAATTTGAGACAGTGAGTATAAGAGACTCTTTGAAGGACGTCCTCTGCAAAGTAGAGCAGAGAAATGGGGCGGAAGCCGACAGGGGAATTGAGGTTAAGAGTAGGGCTTTGTTTGGTTTGGTTTAAAGATGAGAGAAATAACGGCAAGTTTGTATGGTGATGGGAATGAGCCAGTAGAGAAACTTCAGTGGAGGGAACTTTAGTCCCTCAACCCTTCTCTTCCTCCCTGCCTGGTTTCATTTCCCTCCTTGCTTCATTTCCCTTGTTAGCCAGCCTGGTCCCATGACTCGCTATTTCTGTTATGCTTTTACTAACCCCCTACAATGCATCCCTTTTGTTACTCCTTCCTTCCCAAGCCCACCATTTTCTTTCTTCTCCAGAGCTCTTGGGTTGCCAGTTGGCTTTACTACAATAGTTTCACGCTACCTAACCTCACTTGAACCTGCAGAGCTGTCCAAGTATTCTTTTCTTCTTATATTCTTTCATGGTTTACTTCCTAGCAAATGACCAACAGTGTTTATTCCAATATTTTAAAAACTCGTATCCAGCATTTATTCAACCCACATTTATTGAGCAAGAAAATGTTCCAGACACTGGAGCCTGACACCCAACCCCCCACTGCTCCCTGGCCTCTTAGCAGATGACCTTTATTCCACTTTCCCGAAATGATTGATGCGAAGTTCTTCAATCTTCTCCCTCGCATTCCCAACTTTAAAAGACATCCTTCCCATCATTATTTATAGAAAATAAAGTTTCCCTGCTTATCTCAAAGATTAACTCTTTCATTTTGGCCTTGATTCTGTTACCTCTTATATTTAATCACTTGTTCTATCAATTAATCTCCCTGCATCTTTTACATCGTCTCCTCCCTTCTTCCCAGAGGGAACAGCTGTACTGACCTTTGAACTAATCATTCTTTTGCTTTTCTTTATGATTTTTTCACATATATACACACACATACATATATAGGTAGATACATACATACATACACATACATATATAGGTAGATATATATGTGTGTGTGTGTATCTTAATACAGTGTTCACTTTTGACAAACCTGGTTTTGGGTTTTGGACTTTAAAACGCGAGCCTAGCTGTGTATGGAGAAGACGGTTTGCCGCTCCTTGGAGATCAGCTGAACAGACTCTCTGGGTTATAGTCTGGCTTCAGCTTCCCCTGTGGGGCTGTCAGTACAGAAGGTCATGAGTGAGTCCTGGAAACATGGAGTTGGGGCCCGTGGCAGGAAAATGGGCAGGGGTGGAGGCTCTGCATTTGCTTTCTCAGCTCCTATATTAGAAAAAAACACAGAAAATTAATGAATTAAATTTCCCATTCGAGAAGTTAGCATCAAAATATACCCCGAGAAAACAGGAGGAAAGAACTAACAAAGGTATGAGCAAAAACTAAGAAAACAGAAAACAAAGATACAATAAAAATTATCAATACAAGCAAAGCTCTTTCTTTAAAAGGACTAATAATGTAGACAAATCCCTGGCAATATTTATTAAGAAAAAAGAGAGAAAGTAGAAATAGAGTTTGCAATGAAAAGGATATATAGCAGATTAAAAAACTGAAAATATTTACAATGAAAAACTTAATGCTGAGGCTTCCCTGGTGGCGCAGTGGTTGAGAGTCCGCCTGCCGATGCAGGGAACACGGGTTCGTGCCCCGGTCCGGGAAGATCCCACATGCCATGGAGCGGCTGGGCCCGTGAGCTATGGCCTCTGAGCCTGCGCGTCCGGAGCCTGTGCTCCGCAATGGGAGAGGCCACAAGAGTGAGAGGCCCGCGTACCGCAAAAAAAAAAAAAAAAAAAAAAAAGAAGACAGAGATAACAAATGGCGAGGATGTGGAGAAAAGGGAACACTTGTGCACTGTTGGTGGGAATGTAAATTGGTGCACCCACTGGGGAAAAGAGTATGGAGGTTCCCCAAAAATTTAAAAATAAAACTACCATATGATCCAGCAATTCCACTTCTGGGTATATATCCAAAGCAAATGAAAACAGGATCTTGAAGAGATATCTACACTCACATGTTAATTGCAGCATTATTCATAATAGCCAACGTTCAGAAACAACCTAGATGCCTATCAACAGATGAATGTACAAAAGATGTGGTTTATATTTACAATGGAATATTATTCAGCCACGAGAAGGAAGGAAATCCTGTCATTTGTAACAACATGGATGAAACTTGAGGGTATTATGCAAAGTGAAATAAGTCAGACAGAGTAAGACAAATTCTGCATGATATCACTTACACATGGAATCTTTTTTTAAAAAAGTCATAACTCATAGAAACAGAGTAGAAAGTGGTTGCTAGGACTGGTGGGGGGCAGGAGGTGGAGGAAATAGGGAGAGGATGGTAGAAGAGTACAAACCTTCAGCTATAAAGATGAATAAGGTCTGAGAATCTAATGTAAAACATGGTGACTATAGTTGCTGACACTATACTGTATAATTGAAATTTGGTAGGAGAATAGAACTTAAATGTTCTCATCAAATAAAAGATAAATATGTGATAAACAGGTGAGGCATTGGATGTGTTAATTAGCTAGAAGGGAGGAATCCTTTTACAAGGTATATGTATGTCAAATCACCATGACGTACACTTTAAATATCTTATACTTTTGTTAGTTATACCTCAAGAAAACTGAAATTTAAAAAATACCAAGTATTGCCAAGGATATGGCACAACAGGAATGCTCATATACTGATCCTGGGAGTGTCAACTGGTACAACGTCTTTGCAAAGTATGGAAGTGGCCAATCGCCTAAAGATTAGACATTCCATTCTTCTTCCTTGTTTACCAAACCCCAATATTTTTAGAACAGCAATGTCCTTAGGCTCAGTGTATGAATCATGTCTGGTTGGAGCCAATCATAACCATCCTATAACATTTTGCTAGATATGTTTTCCCATTTCCTTGACACCAAGAGGCTGCAACCCCATTCTGGTCAATGGGATGTAAAGGGAAGTCTGATGAAGAACTTCTGGTTGCTAGGACACGAGAGTCCCCAAGGGTGGGGGTAGAGGTGGGGGGGTTCCCTTTATTCTTCAAACATGTCCCCATCCTAAGTCAGTAGTGGTCTACCCTTAGAAAAATAGGAAGGTTTTTCCTCCCTAAAAAAAAAAAGAAGCCCCCTTTTCTACATACTCTTTTCTCTTGTTTGGGACACTGGAATGAGACTGTGATGCCTGGAGTTGTGGAAGCCATTTTGTGATCATGAGGTGACAATCAAGAGGACCAAAGCCATCACACTAAGGTAGTAAGAGTTGAAGGATTGAAAGTGACTGGGTCCTTTGTTGACAATGTTAGATAATTCAATCTTTATTTCACAAACAACTGTTGGTGAGCTTTTCTGTATCCTGTAATCAAAAACTTTCCTGATAGAAAAGTTGTCTAGTAAAGTTAAAAAAAATAGCTTACGATCCAGAATACTTTGACTCCTAAGTATTTACCTTAAATAATCTTTACAAACATGCACAAGAAAACATATCCAGAGATGTTCATCTCAACACTGTTTGTAATGATGAGAAACATCAAAACAATCTAAATATTCATCAACAGGAAATATGGATAAATAATTTGAGGTCTATTCATACAAAAGAATACTATATAGAAATTTCAATAAATAAACTGGAGTTACATGAATCAATACACTAAATCTTAAAAGAATGTTAAGCAAAAAAAAAAATGCAAGTTGAAAGAGGATTTATATAGTATGTTATATTTTGAGAGAATTTCAAAACATGGAAAGCAATATTATATGTATTTTTATAGATGAATTAATATATAACACAAATGGAAACCATGCACAGGAATGTTAAATATCAGATTCATTGTAGTATGTATTTCTGGGGTGGAAGGGAAGGAAATAGTATACAGGGGTCTCAACTCCATCTATAATGTAAAATGTAAAGTGTGCCATGAATACAAATTATTATAGAAAATAACAGGAATATTCTAAGACTTCTCAAATGGCACAAATGCTTCAGCATTTCATTACTTTATAAGTCACATCAAGTCCTCCTTGGCTTACTCCAATCCTCATACATCAAAACTTACAGTATTTGAATTGTAAACTTTTGAGGCCTATAGTTAGTGAGAAATAGCAAACAGAATAAGTAATGTATTAGAGGCTCCCAGGGTAATTTTTGCTGGTATCAAAGTAACTCAGTGAGCCATAAATATCATTTCAATGCTAGTCACCATTCTTTGCAAAGTGCACCAATCCCTACAACTCTGGATTTAATGTTCTCATAATCTTTTATCCCCTAGGACAAGTTGTAAAACTGTAATATCTTCATCCAATTTTCAGAAAGGCTCTGCATTTCAAAATCACAAACCTTTCCCAAGTTTGGATATTAAGGCAAATAAGAAGCTACAGGACTTCCCTGGTGGCGCAGTGGTTAAGAATCTGCCTACCAAAGCCAGGACCAGATGGCTTCACAGGTGAATTCTATCAAACATTTAGACAAGAGCTAACACCCATCCTTCTCAAACTCTTCCAAAAAACTGCAGAGGAACACTCCCAAACTCATTCTATGAGGCCACCATCACCCTGATGCCAAAACCAGACAAAGATTCTACGAAAAAAGAAAATTACAGACCAATATCACTGATGAACATAGATGCAAAAATCCTCAACAAAATACCAGTAAACAGAATCCGACAACACATTAAAAGGGTCATACACCATGATCAAGTGGGATTTATCCCAGGGATGCAGGGATTCTTCAATATACACAAATCAATCAATGTGATACACCATATTAACAAACTGAAGGATAAAAACCATATGATCATCTCAATAGATGCTGAAAAAGCTTTTGACAAAATTCAACACCCATTTACGATAAAAACTCTCCAGAAATTGGGCATAAAGGGAACCTACCTCAACATGATAAAGGCCATATATGACAAACCCACAGCAAACATCATTCTCAATGGTGAAAAACTGAAAGCATTTCCTCTAAGATCAGGAACAAGACAAGATTGTCCACTCTCACCACTATTATTCAACATAGTTTTGGAAGTCCTAGCCATGGCAATCAGAGAAGAAAAAGAAATAAAAGGAATACAAATTGGAAAAGAAAACTGTCACTGTTTGCAGATGACATGATACTATACATAGAGAATTCTAAAGATGCCACCAGAAAACTACTAGAGCTAATCAAGGAATTTGGTAACGTTGCAGGATACAAAATTAATACACAGAAATCTCTTGCATTCCTATACACTAATGATGAAAAATCTGAAAGAGAAATTAAGGAAACACTCCCAGTTACCACTGCAACAAAAAGAATAAAATACCTAGGAATAAACCTACCTAGGGAGACAAAAGACCTGTATGCAGAAAACTGTAAGACACCAATGAAAGAAATCAAAGATGATACAAACAGATGGAGAGATATACCATGTTCTTGGATTGGGAGAATCAGAGTGAAGTAAGTCAGAAAGAGAAAAACAAATATCGTATATTAACGCATATATGTGGAACCTAGAAAAATGGTACAGATGAACTGGTTTGCAGGACAGAAATTGAGACACAGATGTAGAGAACAAACGTATGGACACCAAGGGGAGAAAGCGGTGGGGGGTGGGGGTGGGAGATTGGGATTGACATGTATATACTGGTGTGTATAAAATGGATGACTAATAAGAACCTGCTGTATAAAAAAATAAATTTAAAAAAATTAAAAAAAAAGAATCTGCCTACCAATTCAGGGGACATGGGTTCGAGCCCTGGTCTGGGAGGATCCCACATGCCGTGGAGCAACTAAGCCCATGTGCCACAACTAGTGAGCCTGCACGCTGCAACTACTGAAGTCCGTGTGCCTAGAGCCCTGCTCCACAACAAGAGAAGCCACCGCAATGAGAAGCCAGCGCACTGCAACGAAGAGTAGCCCCTGCTCGCCGCAACTAGAGAGAAGCCTGCACACAGCAACGGAGACCCAAAGCAGCCAAAAAAATAAAATAAAATAAAATAATAAGGGGGGAGGATAGATGAATAAACCTAAAATTTTAAAATTAATTAATTAAAAAAAAAAAGAAGCTACAAGGGGGTCTTATCTGGCAATCCAGCGGTTAAGACTCCGTACTTCCACGGCAGGGGGTGTAGGTTCAATCCCTGGGCTGGGAACTGAGATCCCACATGCCGTGCAGTGTGGCCAAAAAAAAAAAAAAGAAGCTACAAGGGAATTCAAGTTTATTGAAAAAGAAAAGACATGGGAGAAAGCACTGTTTGTACTAGGCAGTCTTCATTCTACATTGAAGGACACATAAATATCCGATATAATTAATATTTCACTCTTTCTGGAAGATTTTTCCAAGTGTCTTAAGAGTAATATTTCTTGCATAGATTTTAAAGTGAAATTTTGCAAAACCTTTTTAGACCTCTGTGCTGAAAGAATTATGCAGAAATGAGTTGTGCCAGAAGGGGACAAAGAAATTCCAAAGTCCCATGTTAGGTAAACCAGAAGGGGTCAGGGGATTTTGGATAAATGAGAACTGATCGATCTGTGAATACCCCGATCGTGAGTTCAGGACATAGAGGATCAAAGAAAGAAAGTGCTCTTCGCAACCTAGCGGGCAGGAACTGCTGGGCAAGTGACCTTGGCCACCTGCAGAGGTCCCAGAAATGAGTGGCCCTACTCTGCCTCCTCAGGGCGAGTGACTACAAGGTCTAGCAATTCCCTGGCAGACAGGATCCCTTAAGAGTAGTGCTGACTCCAATATAGTGATTGTATTCTGGGTTAAAAGGACCATGAGCCTCCAGAACATGGACCAGAAAAAACCCATCCCTTGAATCCAAAGGTTGGGAGGAGAGTGTTCTAGTTCAGTCCAACTGTGGCACTCCTGTTAGAAGTTTCTGCTGTGAGAGCTGACTGTCCAGGATGAGCCCATAAAGTGACAGTGGGATATCCACAGGCAAGGTCTGGGAGGCTGTTCAAGCCAGAGAATTGGAATGTAGACATCCCAGAACACGGGGTGAACAAGGAAGTGAACAAGGAAGGCAGGGATGCTGAAGGAAGAGAGGATCTACAGAGAAAAAAAGATGAAGTTAGGATGAAGAGAGATGATGAAGATAAAGAAGGCCAAAGGTCAAAGGGGTAGGATGAGACAATAATGAATATAACGTACAGAATCTAAAAGGCAAGTTCTGGTGGGCAGGATTAGGCAGTAGAACTGAACCCCTGTGTCCTGCTCAGCAGGGCTTCCATCATCCTATGAACAAGAGTGATGGACCCAGAGCCTCGGCCTCTACCTCCAAAGCCCTTTGGCCCTACGGGCTAGAGTTATGGGCCTTTTTGTAGGAGTCTCATTTACAGCTCCACTCTGCCTGCATCCCCACCGCACTATGCACAACAGCTGACATAAGACTCCCTCTTGCTCCTAGTTACTCCACTTCGGGCGCTGACTTATCCCAGTGGTCTCCAGTGAGTCTGAGCTCTGTTATTTCCAACTTTCCACTTGTCCTTCCCACTTTCTCAATTCCAACAATCTGAATTCCTGGCCTTGACCTTGACCACACTGACCTCTGGTATTCTGTCTAAAGGCCAGCTTTTGGCCCCTTCTCATTTAGGAAGGAGCTTCCTGGCAGATGCTTTGGGGTTCTACCTGCACTGCAGAATAAAACAGTGATCGGCACAGTCAAATAGAGCAGAATGTCAAAGAGAAAGAATGAGATGGAGACAACATCATGGGTGATGCCTGAGTGTGCAGTTTCAAGAGCACAAACACGGATGGACCTAGAGATAATTATGCTTGTGAAATAAATCAGAGAAAGACAAACACTGTATGTTAGCTCTTATATGTGGAATCTAAAAAAGAAAACAAATGAACGAATATAACAAAACAAACATGCTCACAGGTATAGAGAACAAACCAGTGGTTACCACTGAGGAGAGAGAAGTGGGGAGGAGTAAAATAGAGGTATGGGATTAAGAAGTACAGACTACTATGTATAAAATAAAGAAGCTACAAGGATGTAATGTACAGAATGGGGAATAAAGCCAATATTTTATAATAACTTTAAATGAAGTATAATCTATAAAAATATTGAATCACTATGTTGTACACCTGAAACTAATATAGTATTGTAAATCAACTATAGTTCAATTAAAAATAAACAAATAGCTCAGTGGTTCTCAAAAAAATAAACAAAAAAACCCTCCACAAACTTGAGAGTCTAAAAGAAAGGGAGGGGCAGGAAAAGATGAAGATAAACCAGAAAACAAAAGAATGGCCACACGTAGCAAGTAGGCTGAGGCAGTTTTCTGACCCACTTCTAGGTGTCTTTATTTCCCTCTTACCCCAGAGGGAATGGCTTTCTGAATAAGACCAGCGGAAACTTTCAGGGGAAAGGCAATTGGAAACGCCTGGCTTAGGTGACATGCGTAATGAGAAGGCATTTCCTTACAGCAGTTTCTGATAAGGACATACTTTCACCTGCTGTCTGTTTACTGCTCCTTCAAAGGAAAGCTCTGGTTGCCCTACTGAGTTCGAAGCTTCAGGTATCCTAGCTGTCTTTTCTTGTCCCTGCTAACCAGAGAAAGAGAGAAGCTCTTCATGTCCCTGTTCTGGAATTATTTTTTCTAATCTAGTTTGGGCAGTCAACTTACTTTCTCAACATCCTGTTCTTGGCCTTTAAATCTCAGTCTGAAACAAGAGCTACTGTATTGTGTATTTGAAAGTTGCAAAGAGAGTAATTCTTAAAAGTTCTCATTCAAAGAAAAAAATTTTTGTAACTATGTGTAGTAATGTGGATGTTAAATAGACTTCGTGTGCAGATCATTTCACAGTATATACATATATCAAATCATTATGTTGTACACCTGAAACTAATATAATATTATATGTCAACTATATCTCAATTAAAAAATTAAAGAAAAGAAAAATATTTTTTTTTTTTGGCCGCTCCGCGTGGCTTGCAGGATCTTAGTTCTCCAACCAGGGCAGTGAAAGCACCAAGTCCTAACTACTGGACCGCCAGGGAATTCCCAAGAAAATTAATTTTTAAAAAACAGACAAATAAGCATAAATTGTTCATGTTTGCCAAAGTAGTTGCTCATTTTAAATGTTTGCCAAAGTAGTTGCTCATTTTATTTTATATATATATATATATAATATATATATATGTATACATATTTGTAGATTTTTTTCTCAGTCAAAATTCGACATCACAGTTTGGTTTGGAAAGTAAGTTTGCAAGAATTTCATGGAGTGTAAAGAGACCCTCCTGTCCTAAATTACAGTGTAGGTCTTTGGATGGAGTTGCTTTGCCTGAGAGAAATAAACAAGTGCTTAAGGGTAATAGCACTTAAAACATTCCACACAACACTTGTAAATTTATTCTCACATGTCCTCTGTTCTTTCAGGTGGACGGGGAACACCTGTTGGTTGGCGGTTCCTATCAGAGCCAGAAAGCGTGTAAACAAACGTTACAATTTGTATTATTTTCATCCCCTTCAGTAACTGAACCTTGATCACCTAATTTGTGTCAAGTGGCTTCAGGAGGCTGCAGGCAGGCCGGGAATTTGTGCAAAGATCTATCAGACCCTGGAGACTTCCTAGAAGTACAAGGTCAGTGGGAGGGATAAGCTGCCACTCAACTACTCTTGCTGTACATCAGTTCAGTTTCCCTTCTGTTTTTAAAGTGGCCTCGGGGAATGGGACATGCGTCTTTACTGGAAAGAACAAGGGCTTGAAGGCCCAAAACACCAGGCCTGATTCTCTGTTCAATCACATAATAGCAGCAACCTTGGGCCGATCAATTAACTGCTCTAATCTCCAGTTTTCTCACCTGTACAGTATAAGTTAACATCTCCTAGAGATTTTGCATGAGTTGGATCAGTGTCATCGGGGGGCTCCTGGAGTCAGATTAGTTAGGGTTCAAATTCTGGCTCAACCACGGATTTGCTGTGTGAATCTGGTCAAGTTGCTTCAAGTCTTTAAAGCCTCAGTTTCCTCAATATATGCAATATCCATACAAATGATTCCTAACTTATTGGGTAGTTGTGCCGAGCAAATGAGATTATCCTTAGAATGTAGCATAGTGCCTGGCACATAGCAAGTGTTCAAATGAATGTTAGCTGTTATTATAGGAAGCACCACTCACAGTAAATTATTTCTGGTTCTCTTAACCAGGTTGCAGATGAATAGGACAGGAGGCAGTTGTGCTAGATGTGCCCAAAGGCAGACTCTTTTCTACACAAAGCACTTCATTCTCTTTTTCCTTTTTTCTCCTTTCAAGATTGTTCTGGTACACATTAGCAAAATGCCTTGGGGGAAGGGAGCCTAGAAAGGCTTTAAGTGTAAGTATTTCCTTCACAAGGAAATCCATGTGCTTTCAGAAGAAGCTGGGTCTTGGAAAGAGGCCAGTTAGATTAAGTGCCTAAGACTGTAAATAAAGTACAAAAGAGGAGACTCTGTGAGTCCAGATTTAAGACAGATCATTAATATCTTCATTAACGTTTTTCTTTATGTGCTTTTTAAAAAGTATGAATTGTGGTTGGTTTAGAGGTTGAATTTTATTTAAGAGGTAATTGTGTAGGTGTTTCAAACTATAGAATAATGTCTCTTTTGGTAGTAATTAAATTTTTAGCTTTGGAAAAATGTTCAGAGTTCAGATAATTAGCGTGAAGGTTTAGGTTGAGACCATGGCCTTGCCCCGCTGCTGACCCCAGGCAGACGCCCACACCTACCAGCCTTGCCTGAGCCCTCTCTGGGTTCTCAGGAGATTCTGCAACGTCCTTACTTTGTGGGAGCGTCCTCAGTGCTCAGCAAACACATCTAGGACTGGGTGTCATCTTTACTGTCTGTGTGTAGCAGCATTCCCCATCACAGGCCGATTCTGATGTTCATTCTGTGTTAGGAAAAGATGGACAGATTTATGATTTTCACTATAATGACTTCTGCAGAGTTTTGCCATTTTTTAACTCCCCCACTTTTCCTTTTTGTAAAATGACTTTCTCATCCCCAGACATACTAAATGAATATAAAAGTGATATATCGTGGTTACCAGGGACTGGTGGAGAATAGGGAGTTATTGCTTAATGGTGAAGAGTCTGTTTGGGATGACAAAAAAGTCCTGTAAATGGCTAATGGTGATGTTTACACAACCCTGAATGTACTTAATGCCAATGAATCATACACTTAAAAATGGTAAATTTTATGTTGTGTGTGTTTTAGCATGATAAAAAAAAAGTGCTATTTCAACATCACAGTTTCATCAATTTATATAGACAATATTTTCTAGTCGGAGAGTATCAGGTGGCCCAGGTTTTAACGGGCTGCCATTTGGAGATAGAAACCAATAAAATGCTCCCTTCCTTAGGTAGCAGGGACCCTACTAAGATGACCAGAATGCTGTGCTCCCTTATTAGCATATTAATTCATTGCATAGAATTAGATGCTTTGAAAGTACTTGAAGGTTTGCCATTTTTTGAAATTCTAAGCACCCTCCTTTCAATGTCATCACTTAAAGGCAGGGTTTTCACAAATGGCTTAGTTGTCAAGAGAAGGATAGGTGTAAAAGACACATCTTCTCACTTGTGAGTCTGTTCTCAACCTCTCATTCCAGTTAATGAAGGTTTTGATTGGCTGTGTCCCATACCAGGATTTAATTGGGACATTTATATTTTAAACGCAAATTAATTCTCCTGGAAAAACATTAAAATGTTTTTGAACTTCTGGTGCTTGAAAAATATTGGTAGAATCATCTCCTAACACAGGAATGGATTATTTTCTATTTTTCAGAGGAGGGTGACTAGACTAAAGCTAGGGAAAGGTGTCTTCATGTGACTGCAGGAAGAGCTGTGCCTATGGAACTCTGGTTTCTTCTCTCCCTCTCCTAGTTTCCTTCTTCTCTCTCTCTGTCCTCGACCTTTGCTTCAGCATCTATTTCTCTTTCTCACACAGGCACAGTGTTATAATAATCATACTTCACATTTGTCCAGCATTCTTTTCTTGCCATTCGTTCCTTGAAACCACCCTGTAAGGTAGAGGGTGATTAAGGCAAATAGTATTGCCATTTTACAGACTTTTTAAAATGAGATAGAGAAAGGATAAGTGACACAGCTAGGTATGGGAAGATGCAGTCCTAAAACCTGTCCTGTGGCTCCAGTCTAATCCTGGTTCCATAGCTGTAGCCCAGATTCTGGGGAGCATGCAGTTCATGGTGGGGACAGGGACATAGCACCACCAGACATACGGCTCCAGTGACTGTGACAACAGGCAGGTGTGGTGCTCAGCACAGTCATCATTAAGCTCCCCTGAAGATTCTCCCAGGAGCTCCCATCCTGGCTGTTGATCAGCTCCCATCCATCCATCCATCCATCCTTCTGTCCAGGATGAAGGGGAGTGTAGGAGGTACTCAGCTGGGGGAGGCCCAGAGGCACATATGCCCTCTGGGTTCTGGAGACTCCTCTTAAAGGCTAAATTGACAACTGAGTTCAGCCATTTTTGTCCAGATAGCTGGTGATATGTCACAATAAAATTATTTCTCAAAGATAAATTCAATTGTCATATTGAATTATTATCCAGTTAATTCTAGCTACACAGATACTGCATTTATATATTTATTATATTTTTTTGGCTGCATTGGGTCTTCATTGCTGCACGGGCTTTCTCTAGTTGCAGAGAGCAGGGGCTACTATTCACTGCAGTGCGCCGGCTTCTCGTTGCAGTGGCTTCTCTTGTTGCGGAGCACGGGCTCTAGAGCGCAGGCTCAGTAGTTGTGGCACACGGGCTTAGTTGCTCCCTGGCATGTGGGATCTTCCCGGACCAGGGCTCGAACCCGTGTCCCCTGTATTGGCAGGCGGATTCTTAACCACTGTGCCACTAGGGAAGCCCAGGGTAACAATTTAAAAACATGTTTCCAGTTCCCTTCCCTCAAAGAATCAATTTAGTTATGTAAAAATGCAAAAGATTAACAAAATCACCTTAATATTATGATTAACTGATAACCTGTCATGCTGGATTGTTATAACTTAAGAACACTTCACCAGCTTCCCAAATCAAATCTGTAGTTTCCCTTTTTATTGTATTTAAAAAAGAAATCTTGGTATGAGAAGCCTGAAAGAAAACTTTCAATGTGCACCAAACACATTTCTAGCTTTTATTCTCCATTGCTATTTGCAGTTACCCAGAGAGGGAAAGTACTGTAAGAAAAATACCACCCAGAAAGATCTCACTCAGGTCACAATTCACATAATTTTTCCTAAGATGCTCAACTGTGACAAGCAAAAGCCAATTCAAAGATAGATCTTTGGGGCACCCTCTGGTGGCTGAGAAGAGTCAGGAGCTGTGTCCAGACTCAGAAGGCCAGTGAGCTTTGAGGCTTTTTAAAGTGGCCATTACTAAATTTTTCCATTCACCATTGAAAGTGTATCCAGATCAGGAAAGCAGGAGGGAGTGGAAAGAATTTGGAATCACAAGACTTGGATCTGAGTCAGAGCTCTGTCACTTACCAGTTTTGTGAACCTATGTCTAGCTGGTCAGTTTCCACAGAGCTGAAGTTCAATCTGGCATTTCTCATTGGAGATAAGAGGCAATGTCAAAACTAGAGGGGTATATGATTCCATTGTCCAGGAAAGGCCACTCTATAGAGACAGAAAGTAGATTAGTGGTTGCCTGGGGTTGGGGATGGGAGTGGGGATTAATTGTAAATGGACAGAAAAGGTCTTAGTGGGGTGATGGAATGTCCTAAAACTGGATTGTGGTGATAGTGGCACACACAGTAAATTTACTAAAAACCATTGCAATGTATATTAAAAATGAGTGAATTTTGTGGTCTGTAAATTATACCTCAATAAAGGTGTTTTAAAAAAACAACAGGAGGGAAAAGCAGAGTGGATAACTTGTAAATGTAGGTACAGAGCTAGGAAGCCTGGGAAACTGGGTAGAAGGAAAGGTGAATGTGGAGCTCGGATGGGGGTGAGCAGGAACAATGCCTAGGACAGCTGCTGCAGTTTGGAACTTATTTTGTCCACTTTCCATTGTCCATAGCTCGTGCCTAGGTGGGTGGCCTGAGGTCCGCAGTCTAGAGGCAGAAAGGACACTGCTTCCCGGCTCAGATTCCTATTGCAGGTAGAGGCAGGGCTTCCATGAACTCCAAACGGAAAGTCTGACCATTCAGGGGCATTTCTGATGGAGGGAAGACCATTAAAGCAGACAACTTGATGCAGTTGCGTCAAAACGACCATTTGGAAATATAAAGACTGTGTTTTCTTCCTAGCTTTTCTCCATCATAGGTAATTCAGTACGGTTGGGGAATAAGATGAGATTAAGGAATGGGCTGGGGAGAGAATGTCTATTTTTTACATTACTTACTAATAGAAAACTTGAAAGTGTAAGGATTTACAAAATTACCAGAAGAAAGTTCACGAGAATATCTATGTAGAGTTGGGTAGAGAGAAATTTGTTAGGAATAATGCCCAAACCAGAACTCTGAAAGAGGTGATAAATGGACTTGGTTAGTTTAATAAAATAAAATAAGAAGAGAAAGAAAAAGGAAAAGAAAAAATAAGACACAGATGACATACTAGCAAATAACGTTATATTATATGTACCAAACAGGTACATATCCTCAATGTAACAGACACAAACCAGAGAGAAACGGGCAAAGGATGGGTACAGATAATTCACGAGAGGAAAAATAAATGAAGAGATACAATCTGTCAACATCTGAAACAGCATTTAACCTGGCTACTTACTAATAAATGTTATTAAGAAAACAATGAGCTATTTATCACCTATGAGATTAGCAAAGATTAAGAAGATCGATGTTGATTATCTTCAGTGCTCTGGTAAATTGGTACAGCGTTCTGGGGAGTAATTTGGCACTACACTTCAAATGCAAATATGGATACCTTTTGGCCCATTCCATTTTTGGGAATTACTTTATGTCAATTAGACATGTGTGAAAAGATATATACATTAGGATGTTCATGACTGAGGTACTCATAACAGCAAAAAAATAGAAAGGTTCTCAAATGCCCTTCAACAGGGATTTCGTTAGTATTGTACATCTATTCAATGCAATATATGCAGTAATTAAAAATGAATGTGATCTATATTTGGGGTCATGGAGGAAATGTTTACATTGTGTTGCTAAATAAAAAATATCAGGGTCATAATAGCATAGATGATATGATTACATTTTTGTTTAAAATAATAGTGTGTGTGCCTGGGTGATGGATGTGAAGCGGCACCACCCAGATGCCCCTTCAAAAGAGGACTTGTTGCTGTCAGCGCGGTCAGGAACTGACCCAGCTGCAGGGCTACCTCTCCCAATGTCCTGCCCTCCCGAGCAGGGAGGGTGGGTACTTCCTGATGGAGGTAAGGGTATAAGGCCGGTCATTTTAGCTCAACAGAGAGCAATTCTGCTGGGCCATTTTCACCCCAGAGCTTCCTGTCTGGTGAGCCAAGGTTGCAACACATCTCAAGTTCTCTCTCTACCTGTTTCTGCTTTCATCCCCTTCTTTCCACAGGTGTTGACCCCAAGGACAGTTCTTAAGAAATGTCCTGCACAATAAACTCCATCTTAGAATCTGCTTCCCAGAAAACCCAAACCAGTGATTTTTATACCTATCCAGTGAACAAATTCTGGAAAAAATATTCAAGTATTTTGTGCTGGATGGTTTGTAATGTCATTATTTTGGCATTGTCTGATTCTTTTAAAATGGGTATTTGTTATTTTTGTCATTAGATGAAGATAATACAGCAGTTTTTCATTCTGGAAAATAAAAAGAAAAATTAGTAGCTTGGTGCTATTCTGGTTAAGATGACCAAATCTAAGTATCCACATTGAAATGGCAGCATCTTAGCCACCTGGTGTGCAGCCTTCTGAACGGGGAGCCGAGCTGTTCTGAACACCTTCTGGCCCACACCCTTCCTACTGCTCTAGGTCTTGGTTCTGGTAGGAGTTTTGGCATGTCTTCCACCAGGTTGTCGGAACATTGTTGAGGTTGCCTATGAAGTATAAGATGCAATTTGGGAGGGACTGTGGGGAGCCACTGAAGGTGATGTGCACCCACATGGATAGGAGTAGATGTACACAGAACGCCCCATGCTGATAAACTCTCAAGCCTCCAGGGAGTGTCTCCTTTTTCATCATGAGCAGGTGGAACATGTGTGCTGGGAAGGGAGCCAAATGGTATCTGCCACCCAGATTCCTTAGCTTAGAGCCTTGAACTGTTTGGCAAATACCTCATACTGCCTATACCAGAAGAATCTGTCTCCTAGTTTCCCTCTGAGTGTCTTGTGGCCTTTCCAGATTTGGGCCATATCTTGTGGCCATGTTGAAGAATGTAGGGAAACTACAGGGTTAAAAGCCATTGCTGCTGAGAACAAAGTATTTTGCTTGGCTCACACAGTCTTAGGAAATAGTGAATTAGCTATCAATTGTAGCAGAGATCATGAGTTGTTCCTGCAAATCCATTCTCCCCTAAATACAAAACCCAAGTTTTGCTGGCACATGGCTATCCAGCAAAAGACTACATTGCACAGGCTCCCTTGCAGCGAGATGTGATTAAATGAGTAAACTGTTGCCCATAGGATGTGAGCAGAATAAAAGTTCCAGGTCACCTCCTTAAAGGAAGCACTTCCTCGTCTCCCGCTTCCTGCTAGCCAGGATGCAGGTCCAGCAGATACGGTGGTGAACCATATCCCATATGGACCAGGGCAAGACCTGGATGAATAGGCCACAAGAGAGAAACAGCTTTGGTCCCTACTACAATGAAACTCCAGAACCTCATAGCATCCCTTGACCACTTACTCTTGTACTGATACATAAGAGAGAAATACACTTTTTATTCAAGCCTCTGAATTTTTGGAAGGGGGAAATGCAAAAACCAGTCATTGTTTTTATATTATACTTTTATAACCCCATTATAGTGTTTATTATACTAATGTAATTACTTGTTTACTTCTCTGTCTCCTTCTCTAGATTCTTTCTTTCTGAGCTACTAGCATAGAAGTGGCATTCCCTAAATGTTTTCTAAATGCATGAGCAATTGAATGCTGAGGAAAATCTGTGGAAAAGCAAAGCTGGAGAGCTAAGTACAAACTTTAATTTCACAATTTCATGTAACCAAAGTTTCTCCAGGCCTCTCTAGCCTGGGGGGACAACTAGAATCCCATCAACACATGGGGACAAAAATTATGAATGCATAAGTACTCACAGCTGTCCCTTCCTTACCCCTGGAGGAACATTCTAGTGTTTCCTGCTTAGCATTCTACCACATCATCCCGATCCTGATAAAAATTCACACCCGTCTTTCAGATCAGATTAATCTGTGCGAGGAGCACCACTGAGAGGGAAGTTTTATCTCAGAAAAGGCTGAGAAAGGGAAGAGGGGAGCAGGAGGCCTGAGTGAGAGAGTGGGAGCTGGGGAGGAAGGGGAAAGGAGATTCAGTGAGTGAGGCTGCAGACTGTAAACTGCATTTCCTTTTTTTTTTTTTGCGGTACGTGAGCCTCTCACTGCTGTGGCCTCTCCCGTTGCGGAGCACAGGCTCCGGACGTGCAGGCTCAGCGGCCATGGCTCAGGGGCTCAGCTGCTCCGCGGCATGTGGGATCTTCCCGGACCGGGGCACGAACCCGTGTCCCCTGCATCGGCAGGCGGACTCTCAACCACTGCACCACCAGGGAAGCCCTGCATTTCCTTTTGAATGTCACTTGAGAGATACCAGTAAAGACCAGAATTAATGTGCTTTTGATGGCTGGTCTCTGCTCTCTGACAACAACACCATAGAAGACAGGGCAGGACATTGGGATTTTTTCCCCAACAACATTAACAGCTCCAGTTTCACTGGCTTTTAGCCCATCTCTTCATGAAGGGCCTCAGCCTGTTCCCTAGTTCACAATTTTTTTCTGAGAGTCCTAGATGTTGTCTCTCTTGTAGCCAAGAATTCCAACCGTCATTGTGATGCTGGCCGCTCATGAAGTCACAGGAAGGCAACCCGTATCCTCCGTGACTGCAACCCGTATCCTCCGGGAAAGCCCACGGCATGGTCTTCACATGCTCCAAACACCTTCTGTCCTGGTCCCCTGGTCTTTGAGATTAACCAAGGAACTGGTGTCTGAGTTACAAGTCCTTCTCATCTTAATTTTTCTCCCAGATGCATACGAAAAAATGAAAAGTTCCTGGAATTCCCTTGTGGTCCACTGGTTAGGGCTCCACACTTCCAACTGCAGGGGGCACAGGTTCGATCCTTGGTCCAGGAGCTAAGATCCCATATGCTGTGTGGTGCAGCCAAAAAAAAAAGTTTTTTTGAAGTTCTTCCTTTCTTCTTCAGCCAAAAAAACCATCATGCAATTCAAACTCTTGTGGTCCTAGCCCCCAGTGCAAAACACATGTCAGAATCAAGCTGCCTCAGGCTTGGACCTGGCATTAATCAAACTAACCTGCGGCACAGTGCAACGAGTTTGAGGCCCTTGCCAGCTCTTCGGTCATGGACTGAACACCTGGAAGGTAACACACTGGAGCTGTGGTGCAGGGCAGGCGGGCAAACCGCAGCTGCCAATACTGGGACCCCTGGGGTCCGCGTGCATCGGGAGGAGGGATGACATAACTACTAGTGTAATTCCTCAGTCTGCTGGACTCATAGTACAAAGATAGAGCTGAAAGTGGTTTCTGAACTTTATTAAGCATTATTATGTAAATAAGCCAGAAACCTCCAGCCAGATGACTGAATTTCAAATATTCAGGAAACTGAGTTGATTATAAACAAGACTACTGACTTACAAAAATGCACTTTGTTCTTGATGTTTGACAAATATAATTTTGCTCCAGTTGTTTAAGACACAGCTTCTCACGGTTGGTGAGGAAACAAATCTGCTGTGAATGTGCAAAGCAGTGACAATGCATAACATGGGGCCTTCGGGCAGAGACCACATGGTTCACGTCTGCTGAGAAGTGAGATCCCTGCTAGACAAAAGAGTGAAGAGGCGCAGGAGTTATGGGAATTTGTTTTACCAAGGGAGAATTAAGGAATGTTTACCAAATGGGTTTTCTGTGTATCCATATTTACTAGCAAAATCCCAGTGTGAATAAGGCCATAAAATCAGTCATTTATTCAGTAGTCCATGTGAGGCACTGTGCTGAGTCCTGATACTAAAACAGAATGTTTAAAATAACTGTCGGGACTTCCCTGGTGGCACAGAGATTAAGAATCCGCCTGCCAGTGCAGCGGACATGGGTTCGAACCTTGGTCCAGGAAGATCCCACGTGCCATGGAGCAACTAAGCCTGTGCACAACTACTGAGCCTGCGCTCTAGAGCCCATGAGCCACAACTACTGAAGCCCACGCGCCTAGAGCCCGTGCTCTGCAACAAGAGAAGCCACCGCAATGAGAAGCCCGCGCACTGCAATGAAGAGTAGCCCCGGCTCGCTGCAACTAGAGAAAGCCCATGTGCAGCAACGAAGACCCAACACAGCCAAAAATAAATTAAAAAAAACCAAAACTTGTCGTAATGTGTGGCCACCTTACGTAGAGTACAGAAAGCCTGTAGCTATTTGCAGCTCCCAGCATTGCAAAAGCCGTGCAAAAAATACAAAGTAAAAAGAATGTCTAGGGCTTCCCTGGTGGTGCAGTGGTTGGGGGTCCACCTGCCGGTGCAGGGGACACAGGTTCATGCCCCGGTCCGGGAAGATCCCACATGCCGCGGAGCGGCTGGGCCCGTGAGCCATGGCCGCTGGGCCTGCGCGTCCGGGGCCTGTGCTCCGCGACGGCAGAGGCCACGGCAGTGAGAGGCCCGCGTACCGCAAAAAAAAAAAAGAATGTCTATATGTGCATAACTGAGTCACTTTGCTGTACAGCAGAGAGTGGCAGAACACTGCAAATCAACTATACTTCAATTTAAAAGAATTTTAAAAAATGCAAAGGAAAACACACATACAGGCACGCGAGCATGCACACACACACACACACACACACACACACACACACACACGCCAGTGCTTTATGGGGATGGAGAAGGAAGTGAAGTTTCCCTTTAATTAAATGATATATTCTCTAACCTTTTAGATAGTTGAAAGCTAATTTAAACTCTGAAGAAAAGGTACGTCTCATCTATTGGGTCATCTTTGGGATGCTCCCGGGTGACTGCGGATACCAGATGTAATCACTGAAGTGTCAGCATTTTTGTTCTCCTTTCCTGCAGTGACACAGAGAGCTCCATTGTCTAGTCTCTCAGGCGGCTCTTGCTGGCAGATTCCACGTAAAATCACAGAGGGCAATTCTCCTTCGTTGGGGAGAGGGACGCTGGGGGTGGAGCTCCCCTCTGCCGAGAGGGCCACTCACCCGGCCCCAGGTGCTGGGAGGAGACAGAGCTGGGGGCCCGGCACTGGGGCAGAGCTCAGGCTCGGCACCGGCGGTGGGGCAGGACCCCCAAGCATCCCAGTTTCCCTAGGCCAGCCAAACCTCTGTGTCTGTGCTGAAAATCCAGCCTGCAGAGGCTCCTCTCGGATGACACCTAGAGATGACTGAAGGAAACAGAATTCTGGGCAACTGGAAAGAACTTGAGTAGAATGAAAGTAAGGGTTGTCTCCCCTCTGGGTGCATTTCTGGGGTGTCTTGGGTGTGCTCTAGGTGGAGTGGGCAGGTGTTAGGGATAGGAAGGAAGCACTGACAACTCTTCTTGGGAACCTGAGAAAAATCCAATTAGATTTCTACCTCACAGGATGAAACAACAAAAACGAAATATTTCAGATGGATTTTTTTGTATGTAAACAAATAAGACCACAAAGGAATAAAATAAGAGAATTTCTCAGTAAAAAAAAAAATAAAAAAGACTGTGGGCAGAGCTGCAAAAACATTTAGGAGCCCCAACAATACTTTTTGACTGATTAAAGGTGGAAAGCAAGGGAGAAGGAAGTGTTAGGGCTGAGAACCAGATCTCTGGCCTCGCAGATCTGGGGCTCCTGCATCCTTCTCTCTGAAGTGAAAGAAAGGAGGACATTGCCTGAATCACCCATCTCTCACTCCCCACCTGCCCTGGCTGCTCTGTCATCAAACTCTCAAACAAGGCAGCCCCTGAATTCCTTACTATGACAATTACTTCATTTTGCGGCAATTTTTTTTTTTGTTTTTGCCTGTGTTGGGTCTTCGTTTCTGTGCGAGGACTTTCTCCAGTTGCGGCGAGCGGGGTCCACTCTTCATCGCGGTGCGCGGGCCTCTCACTGTCACGGCCTCTCCCGCTGCGGAGTACAGGCTCCAGACGCGCAGGCTCAGTTGTGGCTCGCGGGCTTAGCCGCTCCGCGGCGTGTGGGATCTTCCCGGACCGGGACACGAACCCGCGTCCCCTATATTGGCAGGTGGATTCTTAACCACTGCGCCACCAGGGAAGCCCCGCGGCAAATATTGAAAATACTTTTGAACCAAAACATAGGACACCAGATCCCTGGGTGGTCTAAAAGTGGAGGCAGGGCTGTGCCTCCAAATAAGGGTGTAAGGTCCTCGAGATGGTTCCGTTTTTAGGACTCCAAAGGGTGTGCTCCGAGATAGGACCTGAAATACTGGAAGCTCTTTGGTGGGGTGTGTTCCAGGTCCTCAAGTCATTACGAGAACCATGTCTGACCTCACAAACGCACGCTGATAAGACGATTTATCTTATAAATCTCAGGATTCCACAATCTCCACATGTGGCCTCTGAAGGAATTCTTTTTCCAAAACCATTTTTAATCTCATAAAGTCCAAAGAAACTCAGAAAGGACTATCTTATTTCTTTCCTTTGCATTAACTAGGGGAAAAAGAAGTCCCTAATGCATTTCTTTTCAATAGGCTAAAATCCCATTTCCAACCTAATTGGAAATTGCATCAGTCCAGGCCCTTTAGCCAAGATGGGATCGGTAGGAGCCAAGTCCCCACAGCTGAGGTGCTATGACTGGTGCAGGCGGCGGCTTCCAAACTAGCATGTAAGGGAGCAGTAATCATCTCTCCCTATATTCTCAGGCAATTGAGAGCTATGTTATTTAAGGTTCCATGGGAAGTTATCAATTGTATTGCTTAAATTAATAAATTTTTAAACACCTCCCATCTAATCACACTGTCTTCTTTTGAGTTCCGCCTCTGGCCGTGTCTTATTTGTTGTGGGATGGAGGGTAATTCTCTGTGTCGTTTCTACATGCGTTGTAACAACTCTTGTCCCAGACCGTCTTTCCAAGGATATTGTACACAAAAAAGCCTTGGAGGATAGAGATGGAGTCTCTTTCAGGGGCTGGGGGCAGATTTGTTTTCTGGCAAGGATAATAAAGGTAATGTCTGTCTCTGGAACAAAGGTTAGGCAGGTTTGCCAAGAGCCCACTATAAGATCGGAGGTTCTCTAAGCTCACAGTTCCTCAGCTTTCACATGAATCCACTGTGTGCATAGCACCCGCCTGTGCCCACCTCGGCACCACCCCCATGGGACTCGGGGCTCAAGAGGAAGCCGTGAGAATGTGAAGCTCACGTTGCCTGCTGTGCTGCGAGTAATAACGCCCTTTGTCTCTGACCAGGGGATGTCAATGCCAGCATCAGTGAAGCTGTGACTGGCTCACTTGTTAGCCTGCAAAGAGGGTAAAAATTTCAGACTCCTCACGATATTGACATTATTTTGTCTTGTCATCTCTTTGGGTCATCATTTGACTTGAGGTTGGGGGAAATGCTGGTGAGGACGTGATAAGGACAACAAAAGCAAATTAAGTAGCTAATGTGAGTTTAACGTTGCTCTCGTCAGGGTCCTGCTAGCCTCCTGGCTGTCTTTCCTCTTTCCTTGCCCCCATCAAAGTGAGCATCAGGCCAGTGCACTGCGGGGCACACCATGAGTTCTACAGTGTAGTGAGCGCCTCTGTATACCAACCACTCGGCAATCCATGATCTGTTTCTTACAACAGTTTTGGAAGTTAGGAAGTATCCCTGACCTGAGGCTGAGAAGGGTTAAGAAACTTGTCCAATACCACAGAACCTAGCAATAGAGGCAGGATTCCTACCTGTATTTATCCGGTAGCAAAGCTCACACTCCTCCCACCACAAGCTCCTGCCAGCCCAGTTATGCAAATGAAGTTTCCAGGGAAAACGGAAAATGTTGCAGTGGTTATGTTGGCCAGTTTGCTTAACTTCCTCTCCTCAAGCGACTGCCACTACCCCATTTCCTGATTTGCCGCCCTATTTTATTTGACCCCTATTACTGCCAATCCACAGCAGTTCCTCTGCCCCTTTCCCATTAGCATCTCTTCTTGAATGTAGAGATATTAATGGTATTTTTTCACAACTGATTTAGAAATCTGTCTGTGTGGAAATGGGCTGAGAAAGACTGAGTTATGCGTGGTCTAAGACAACAATGACAGGAAGTATAAGTTGAACTGACCCTTGAGAGCAATGAGAAAGTAATCCATGACCTCAGCTTCCAGTCCGAGGGGTTCAATATGCATCTGCCGGAAGCCTGAGTTGGGAGCTCACGTCTCCACGTCTTCTCCGTGGGGGCCCGTTTGAGGGATGGCTGCCGTCCAGCTCTGTATCTCCAGGAAATGAGGCTTCGATTCCTTACAGTGTTAACTTTAAAGGAAAGGCACATCAATGTTTCTTGAAAGGGAAAGAATGTTTGAAAAAAAGCTGAATGAAAAGACAGAAAAATCCACAGCCCGCTTTCATTTTCAGTCCCCCTGGCACCAGCCTCCGCAAATGTCCTGGCTGCAGAATTCCCTGTGGTCTGGGAGCAGGTGGTGGAACATCCAGGTTTCCAGGTTCCTCTGTTTTCCTCGAATTCACCAAACTTCTCAGCCCTGGGAATGCCTTGGGGCGCAGAAAACTTGAAAACAAACGTGTGTTTACAAATTCACCCTCACCACCAGTTGTAATATTACTGTATTTTTCCCAGTAGAATTTTTATTCACTGCTGCCTTCAGAATAGTGCCAAGGGCAAACACACTCTAAAATGTATCAAGGGGACTTCCCTGGTGGCACAGTGGTTGGGAATCTGCCTGCCAATGCAGGGGACATGGGTTCGAGCCCTAGCCTGGGAAGATCCCACATGCTGCAGGGCAACTAAGCCCGTGAGCCACAACTACTGAACCCGCATGCCACAACTGCTGAAGCCCGCTCGCCTAGAGCCTGTGCTCCGCAACAGGAGAAGCCACCGCAATGAGAAGCCCGCGCACCACAACAAAGAGTAGCCCTGGCTCGCCACAACTAGAGAAAGCCCATGCGCAGCAACGTAGACACAACACAGCCAAAAATAAATAAATAAATTAATTAATTAAAAAAAAATAAGCCATTTGGGGGGCTTCCCTCGTGGTGCAGTGGTTGGGAATCTGTCTGCTAATGAAGGGGACACAGGTTCGAGCCCTGGTCCTGGAAGATCCCACATGCCACAGAGCAACTCAGCCCGTGCGCCACAACTACTGAGCCTGTGCTCTAGAGCCCGCAAGCCACAACTACTGAAGCCCGCTCACCTAGAGCCCATGCTCCACAACAAGAGAAGCCACTGCAATGAGAAGTCTGCCCACTGCAATGAGAAGTCTGCGCACCGCAATGAAGAGTAGCCTTGCTCGTGGCAACTAGAGAAAGCCTGCACGCAGCAACGAAGACCCAACGCAGCCAAAAATAAAGAAAATAAATAAATAAATCTATTTAAAAAAAAAAAAAAAGAAGCTATCTGGAGAGACAGAGATGCAAAAGACCAGAGACTATAAGAGGAATACAGAGATGGTTTCTAAACGCTGGGGAATGAAAAATATTGCTACATGGGAATAACTGGATTGATCCCAATTGCTGAGGCTAATCAAGAAGGCCCAGTGTCGGACAAGAAATTTGAAAATTCTTTTCTTTCTACTTGGATGTTTCTTCTTACTCAACAGTTCTCATTCCGTTCAGGCCATATAGCCTGGGTTTTCTGACTGGTGAGGGAGTAAAATAAAGAGAGCAATGATGAGAAGAAAGACGGGGAACAGGCCTAGCCTGGGAGGGGACATCCAAGGCCAGCTCCTAAAACAAAAGAAAAGTCAAGAATGAGTGCAGCTTTGAGTCTGTTTACCAATAGCCTATGGCCACTTCTACACACAGTCAAACCCACCACAGGCCATTGCTCTGGTTGATATAAATCACCATCACTGTATGTCTCCTCACTGTGAATGACGCTGCCAAGCCATATGACGGCAGAGCAGTAGCTTCTCTCATCGTCCAAAACCATTAGGGGTGTGTGTGTGTGTGTGTGTGCGCTCATGTACGTGCTCACATGTGGCCAAAACGTAGAAGTGAGAAATCCCTAGCCCAGTCAGATTTGGCCTTCAGTGTTATTTTATTTTGGCTTGTGGAACAAAGTTTATTTCTTGTTTATGTTTTAAATTTGGGGTTTTTGCTTTCGTTTTGGTGTGAAGAATGTGACACAGCTTTTAAAGTAATAGTATCTTAAGACGAGATATGAGATGTCATGAAAGTTGGGTACGACGCTAATATGACTCTGTGTATTTCTTTCTAATACATATATTTCTGCCTGTGTCTCTGGGCCTGGGCACATCTTGCTATGCTTTTGTTCCTGCATCACTTCTTTTTTTTTTTGCGGTACGCGGGCCTCTCACTGTTGTGGCCTCTCCCGTTGTGGAGCACAGGCTCCGGGCGCGCAGGCCCAGCGGCCATGGCCCACGGGCCCAGCCGCTCCGTGGCATGTGGGATCCTCCCGGACCGGGGCACGAACCCGTGTCCCCTGCATCGGCAGGCGGACTCTCAACCACTGCGCCACCAGGGAAATCCCTGCATCACTTATTTTAAACTGTCTCTATTTGTCTATTTCCAACTGTCTCTTCTGTGTTTGCCTCTTTTTCCCACACTTTCCTTTTTTCCCATTCATTTATTCAAAGTTACATTAAATGGCAACCACTGTATATTGTTTCTAAGAATTATCAAATTCCTCTTCCCCCCAACTCTGAATCAAGTAGCTTTTTCATGCAGGTACTTCAGTTGATCTTTGAAAGTTCAGTGCCCTTGAGAAAAAAAATGTTCTTGACTATTTCCCTGACCCGGGATGGAGTTTTCCAGAAACGTCCATCATGTCAACCCTATATTGATATACACAGAATGCTGATGCCTTTCAAGGCTAGTGAGAAATAAGT